AAACTGTTTTAGCAAAATTGTATTATATGGCTCTTAAACTGTGAAATAAAGACAAAACTGAAATATAACACTGCAGTGTGCTCAGATATGAGTATGATGATGTTTTTTAGTGCGCAAAGAAATCAAATGAAATCCTTTCAGGAAAAGTAAAATTTTCACAGATTTTTTTTTTACTAAAATGTTTCTGAGCATTTCATTTTACATTTTTCTCCCGGCAGGGACTTACTTTCAAACCATATATTTAAAAGTTCATGGCTTTAACAGGATCTCTAAAAGGGTTTTTAAAATGTTCCGCCGTAGATGCTCTGGGAATTATAATAAAACACTTGGAACAATGATTGCTCCACTGTATGTTATAAATCATAACGTCACTCATTAAAGCAAACTTTGTCACATATAGACATATCAGGGGTTTTTGTACTTGATTAATAAACTGGAGCTGATAGAATGTTCTTAAAGACAAAATACCTACAGTAGGTCCTATGTTTAGAAATTTAGTTATATATATATTTAAAAATGCATACAGTCTGTGCATATTCTGAAAACAGAAAGCAGAAAAATTGATTGTTGAGACATTTAAGCATAAAATATCAGATAAATGCAGCACTATATAAACAGTTGACATATAAATAACCTATTATACATAGAGCCCCTGCAGCTATTTTTGGCAGCTCACTTGGGTTTATATTTCCCTTTTTTAAATTCCCTTGTTGTTTTTAAGGAACCAAAAGGTCACTTAGACAGCCGTGACACTTTCAATGATTTAACGAACTGTCCTTCCTCAGTGCAAAAGCTTTTCCAAAAACCTACAGACTATTTACCTGCATCTCTAGCAGCTCTCTAAAGTCTACAGCTTAATTTCCTGCTTTTTGAGAGGATTTTTTTTCTAGTGTTTTTTTTATTGTCATCACACTGTCACAAGTACAAAGCAACAAAATTCACTTTCTGCATTTAACCCATCCTCTTGGGGAGCAGTGGGTTGCCGTTGTTGCGGTGCCCAGGGAGCTGCGTGGAGGTTAAGGGTCTTTGCTCAGGGACCCAGAGTGGCAGTCAGTGGAAGTGGGGCTTGAACTCAGAACCTCAGGATTCTTAGCCCACTGCCCTAACCACTAGGTTAGGGCACTCCCTTAGGTTCCTCTTTTTTTAATATTACGATATATAATAAAAATTATATATTGTAAAAATACATGTTACTTAACCAGAAAGTACTATTTTGTACTTTTTAGGATAACACATCTTTTTCAGATAACATGTCACCAACTAACTTGCTAACAGCTATCTTTTCCTCAAAAGAAGCCCGTCTATTATAGGTAATGAACCTGAAAGTACTTGGTAAAAAGTTGCACAATTTGAAAAGTGTGAAAATTGTACAATTTAGGATTCAGTACTTGCATTTTTTTTTCTAAAAATCAGGTTACAACTGAATTAGTACTGGGTTACAACTGAGCAAATTAAAAGGAGTCATCAATAAAACCAACCTATACATCCCTGAAAAGTAAACTATATACAGCATTCTGCAGGAAAAAAAATCATACATTTGAAGAAGATACCCAAGTAGTTCTGAAACTTGTCAGTTTTAAGAAAAGAAAGGTATAAACTTCAGAGGCTACATCCTTACAAGCTGTTTTGGAGATTTTGGAAAGCAATCCATTTGTTCCAAGTGTTCATGTTTAATTTGGATAAAATACTTCAACTTTACAGGGAGCATGAGCCATGTTATATATTTCATAATGTAATGATGTAGTTTCAGTGGTTATTTCGGACGGTTTTGCATTATAATCATGTAATTTACCTGTGTTAATGTGTATTGTACACGATTACTAAAGTTTTACTGATCTTTTCAATACTATAGAGACTTTTTTTGTGTCTAAACAGCTCATTCTTGTTTTATTTTAATCAAGTATTTACGGTGCAGAAATGGAAACCTGGGATGTTATTTTTCATTTGTTTGGTTTTAATATTTCTGATTAACAAGGCAGGATGTAATGCTACCATCAGATGTTGCATTAGCAGAATTATATCAGGTTAAACCGCATCATACAGATTCTTCTACACTCAATGGCATTTGACACCCTGGGAATGATAACAGACTAATATAAGGCTGTGTCTCTGCCAACAAACACCACAGATCTTTGAGATAAATCTGCCAGTAATTACATGTTCTTTTCCGGTTTTTATTATTTCTCAAAAGGGTATTGACAGAAAATCAGCCTGCAGCATCAGGGGAGTGTTCTGAGCTTGATGTTTTCAGGCAACATGGAGTATCTACCCTCTAAGATTAGGGAAGCACATCACGAATCACTCAGCTGCAGGGGAGATAAGAGAATATTACGCAGAGCTAAGCTCTCCATGTGGTCCTCAGAGGAAGTCCTCAAACCCCCTGTGTTCAGGTCTTAACATTGTAACAGCGTAAGACTTATTAATGTCATAGACTTGAGCTCTTTTAATGTTAAATACATGAAAGAGGGAGTTTATGTGAAGGAAATTTCATTTTTGAGCTGTCATTACCTGAGTGAGAGCTGTGCATAGAGCAAAGATCCAAAGTGCCACCAGGTTCTCGTTTAGCCAGTCCTTTACTCGCTCGTAACATGGCTGTGAAGAAACACATAACCAGAGATACTAAGCAAACCTTAGCACATGAAGAGAGACTACCATGAATGTGTTTAGTGATATACACCTGTTAAAGGGGCATCTATAACTACATCTTCAGCATGAAGGTTGCACTTAAAAATAAGACATCCTGAGATTATATAGATACAAGTTACATTAACACCAAAGAAAATACACAAAATATTATCTTTGGAAAACATTGTGATTCATTACCATCTAGCAATATCCCATTGCTATGAACATTGAATGCTCCAAAAGAGTCTTACCCCTTGCATATTTATTGTTATTTTTTGTTCTCTTACCTAGTTATTTCTAATATTAAAATTAATATTTTTTAAATTAAACCATAATAACCTGAGGGAATATGAAGTGCAAAATCCAGATCTATGAGCACTGATTGACTTTTGGAAATCCAGGTTCAGTTTCTGTAGTCAGAATTAGGCTTAAATTCTGTCAGAACTATAAAATGAGATAAAAAGTACAACCCCCCCCCCCAAAAAAAAAACACAAAAAAAAAAACACATTAATCAAACAAACAGCAAGTTTTGCCTCGTATTTATGACCTACACCTGTAGCTAAAACTTGCACATCTGGATCATGACTTTAGGAGTCCAATGCGGAAGACTATCAATAGTCACTGCTGCCACCCTCTGATCATAAATCACAATCTCACAATCTTAAAGAATCCTTTAAAGAAAATCCCCCATCTGGATTATGATCTGGATCATCACCAACATTTTATGGATTGTTTCTTGGCATGAAGCACACTCTGGTAAATATTTAATTAAAATCCATTAATAAGTTATCCTGTACACAGACAGACAAACACACACACAAAGTCCTAAAAATAAAAACTCTTTTTGGAGGTAAAAACAGTCATGGAACCTTGGTTGACGTAGTGCTGGTGGAAAAGAGAAACAAAACTTTTAGCGGGAATATTCAGTGGGTTGACATACAAGTGGATGGTTTATGGAGTTGTATATCCTATTCTGGCATAGAACAAGCAAATGATTTCAGAAAAAAAAAAACAAAAAAAAAAACATGCAGCAGACAGTAAAACATGTTGGTGGTCATGTGCTGATTGCCTGCTTCAAAATAGCATTTTACTTTAATAACGGAATCATCTTTTCAGAGCTGCATCTCATACTACCTTGGATTGTCTTTGACTGGTATATTTTTTATGATTTGAAATATTCAAAACTGTCAAAAAAGCAAAATATTGATAATTGATTACGGTGTAAAAACTTAAGATCCTTTTCCTTAGAAATTATATAAGCTGTATGCAAATAGAGGATAGAAGTAATTAGAGACCTTTTTCCACCAGATCAATGATATGCGCAAGGGAAAACGATATCTATTATCTAAGCAAAGTTAGTGATTTTTTAAGTCTAAATGAAAGCAAAAACCAGAAGTGTATGGCTTGAAAGACCTTCCACTTAGTTTCATCTTAAACTATGTGTTGACTTATGATTAATACACTGCAGGAGAGACTTCCTGCTATACAAGTGTTATCAAAATAGGCTACGGCACTTATCTAATTAAATAATTAATTTTAACGTGTTCTAGTCATAGTGTTATGCTGTATTTTTCAAATCTTAGCACCTCAGGAAGCTGAGTCAGAGCCAGGAAACCAAACAATCTTTTCAGCTTTTTACTGCTGCTTGAAATGTCAGTGAACCAGAAAATATATACACCTGAAAAATGCTTCTGGGCTGGATCAATATGGAAAGTAATGCAGTGGACCTAAATTTAAGACAGGTTTGGGGGTATTTATCACACTGTTGTCCTACAGCAAGTCTCTTGGATCCCGGAGCTGCAATGGAAGTTATATAAATTTATATTTTTATGGTTATACTTCCACTGCAAGCTTCTATAAAACAGATTTGTGACCTTTCATGGTGACTTCCAGCTCAGAAATTAAGTGCCTTTACTGCCATCAAGCTCTTTATCAAAATGTTAACAACCTAAAACTATTTTTAATCAGTGTTTCTGGGTACCAAATAATTTGTTATGACAAATTAACAAACACAATGTCATTAGGCCAGGTACATAGCATAATATGGATTAAGTTCTTTGATTTTTCCAGTGCATTTAAAAGGATTTAGCCTGATTTACTTTGTCACAAACTCAAGAGGCCTGATGCAGATACTTCAACAGTCACCTGGCTCAAAGACAACCTGGCAAACAGACCACAGTTTTTTAGACTGAAGATACAACTGTCAAAGCAGGTAGACAGAAGCACAGGAGTGTACTCTGTTCACCTCCACCTTCCAGTACAAGAGAGAGTATAATCATCTGCAGAAATGCTCAGATGACTCTGCAGTTGTTGGGTGCATCAGAAATGGACAAGAACCTGAGTACAGGGAACTGGTGGATTGATTTGTGGTAGGATCTGGAAACAATTATCTGTTCCTAAATATAAGTGAATAAAGGGAGATGGTTTGGGATTCCAGAACAAACAGAGGCAAGTCAATCTGCTTCTGCAAGTCAATGTTACCATCATGGGAGAAGAGGTGGAGCTTGAATACCTCAGTCTTTACCTGGACAACAGACTGGATTGGAGACAACCTTACCAGAAAGTTTGAAGAAAGTTAGTTCTTTCGGTGTTTGCAGCAATATGCTCCATATTTTTAATATGTCTGAGAGTCTTCTCTCTTCTGCTAACATCTGCTGGGGTAGCAGCGTCAGAGTAAATGACTAACTGAATTGTTCATTAAATTTTGCTGGAGCTGACTCTCAAGCTTCTTCCTCTATGCCCCTTGCTTTTCCTAGCTAGATAATCAGTTGCTTCTTTATACTTCTCAGTAAATACCTATTTCCATCACCAGCTATCCAGGGTATAGTGTTGGGTTAGTGTCTCACTGTTTTGGTGGGGATGGTGTTATCTACACAGTTGTTATATAGTACTAACACACACAGTCATTGCACTGATGAGCTCTCAATTTGGCTGGAGAAGTGCATCCTGGTATGTAACTGCAATAAAACCTTGTGTACTTCTTCAGTCTCCTGTGACCATTCATCTTACGGTGCTCTTTATTACAAATTACCTGATAAAGGGGCTTAAAAAATAAAAATAAGATGATGTGATGTGATTTCCCAAAAGGATGTCTAACTTTAGGGGAGTGTGGTTAGAGCAGAGTGCTTGGGCTCTGAGAAGGTTTCCGGTACTCGGTTTGATCACCATGACCTGCGTTGTGGGTTGCTGAGGAAAACCCTCAACCCCTGATTGCTCCCCAGGCGCCTCACAATGGCAGCCAACTGCTCCCCAAGGGAATGGGTCAAATGAGAGTGAATTTTCCCATCGTGGGACAATAAGGGGATTTAAATTACAACTTTAGAGATTTATGAGCCTAGATTTTGAGTCCTTGATATTTCTATAAATTAAATCCAACTTTTTTTGTTTTCTCTGATACAGTAGCCCAGTGTTTCCCAACATTTTCTTGAATTGTGTACCCCTCTGGGCATTTTTCCTTACCATGAGTACCCCTTTCAGTCAAAAGTATTGATGATTGTCCAAAAGTGGAACCTACAATAACTGATTATAAAATAAAAAATGTTTTACTTAATCTTTTAACTAGAGCATTTAATTCTTAGATCTTTTATTCGAATCATCTCAGAAAAAAAACCTAAACATAAAATCATATTATCAACCTGTATTTATAAAACTGGAGCTCCTCTGAGTAAATCCCCTATAATCCAATATAAACTGGATGAATTGGGAACAAAATACTGAACAAAATCTATGGTCAGACTGCCTTAATTAGTTTTATTAACTTTCATCAAGACACCTGAGCTGCTTTGATGAGCTCAAAAACAGCTCAGCAAAACAGCTGATCCCAGGCTGTTCTCTTCATCCAGTCTGTTCCTCTGCTTGGTTTTGATGTGTGTCGAAGCTGAAGGTGAACTCAGAGAAAATCTTACTCTTTGGTTGATAAAAGCTTGTTTAATTTTTTAGACCACTAGGGGAACGAGCACCCCCTGTTGGTAATCACTGCAGTAGCCAATAAACTGTTGCAAGTGTAGCAGAGACTGAGACATATTTAAAAATCATGAGTTATTGCCACAAATGTATTTGGCTTTGCATCTGTATCTTAGCAACAGCACACCTTATGACGTCACATGTGAAGTTGGCAACATCTTGAGCAGCTTAGACCTTGAATTGATCAGACAAGGCTGTCACAGTGGTTCTACTCTACTGTAAGCTCACTGTGACAAACCTCCACAATCCTTTCACTAAAGGGTGTTGACCAACAGTTGATGATCATTTCAACTAAGAACATTTCAGAACTTCTTTCATTTTAATTCATATGAGTGAAATGATGTTTTATTTAAGGAACCAGGCTTTTGCTTTCTGGCATAGCTTTTTATTCACTACAACAGACTGGATTTAGGGGTAAAAGCACCCTTTGTAGAGATACTAACTTTTGCCAACTGTCCCTCTCCTGCACAATCATTTTATCTTTCTTAAAGCAGAGACCCATATAATTGATCTCCTCCCCAGTAGGGAGCAGTCCACATCTCCATGGTTGTACATCATGGCACTCAGAACTAGTGTAATCATTCTCTGGTTCAGCTCTTTGTTATCTCCAGTCTAAAATAAAATAACCATCCAAAAATATCGTTCAATGTCATTTAACATCTGTTGGAAGGTCTAAGCTTCTCTTTTCTACAATAATTGAGGCCCTTTTTTTCTTAAATTGGTCCCCTAATGTTTTGTCCATTTAGTTTTTTGTTGGCATTTACCATTTTCTAAATATTGTCACCAAGTTCAAATTTCCAGAGAAAGAACTTGTCTTTCATTTAGTTTAGAAAAGTAATCAGCAGAAAATTGGCGTAATACTACCCTGACAATAATTCCAGACTAACCCTTCTATTTAGAAAAGACCAACAATCAGCTTTAAAGACACATTGAGCTTTTGGTCGAAGGTGAAATACCTGATTGCAATCACAGGTATTGATTAAGCTCCAGATTTGACTTTTGG